CTCTATAATTCAGAGGGAATTTCATGACACAATAGTAAAAAATGGTCACAGCTTCTATGGTTGAAACAAGCCTAAGAACTGACTTAGAAAACAGGTTCCAAATTTCATATTTTAGGCTGATCTAACCAGTTACAGTGTAGGCTAAGACAGATGCCACCTAGAGGATCCAAGCATTTAGTCTGGTTTTAAAACAGTACTATGGTCCAGTAATACTCCAAACTGTAGTTATGTTTGTAACTGAGTTAAGGAACAACTATGCTGGAACCAGGTTTCCTGATGTACTTGCAGGACCAAAAATGACAGCCCCTGGTCACTTTACAAAGTTTTTTCTTACAAAAAAATCCACTACTGAGCTTTTCTATAACTAACACTTTGACAGAACACTTATTAAACTAGGTAGTATAGTTTTAGTGTAAAAACTTAAAATTAAGCTCTACCTGTAAGAAAAAAATTAGATGATTACACATGAGACCTGCTTCTCTTGCATGGGCACAATTGCTTGCTTACTTCCTTCTTTGCAGAAGTTCTTCATGTAAAAATGCTTATTCTCCTCTTTTTCCTGGTTACCTTCTAGAATTTCTCACTATTAAATCATATTCATGCTATGAATATTTTACCAAATGTTTTCAAGGCACATACTTAATTCCAAGACAACAGGAGAACATCATGACATCATATTGCATTCATTTAATAAAATATGCATGGGAAGATGCACAAAAATTTCACAACAAATTTGGAATACATTCCTGGTTATCGCTGCAAGACGGATTTCTTCTATGGTTTTAACAGCGCATTATTAACATGGCTGTATTCTACAAATATTTTTAAAAGGTGACTATTGCATACATCAGTGCATACATATGTGGTTTACATAGTGAAGGTTAAATTACCTGAACAATCTCAATAACATTATTTTTCTGCCTTGAAAAAACTGAACACTCCCAAAACATTTTAGTATTCTATAAATAGATATTATTCTGAATACTATTATTTTTCTTGCAGATAAGCAAAATGCCACATATCTGACAAATATGGAAGCCACTTAAAGTTAAAAAATGGAACCTAAGTAATTAAACATAAATTATCAAAAAGCACTCACGATCTAGACACTCAACCATTTAATTTATTTAGACAGATAAAAATCAGTGGTGATACAAATGTAAAACAGAATAATAATAAAGCCATAAAACCGAACCAACCGTGCTTTTAGACATCTCTTCTCATCTGGCTCATACTAAGAAACATTTAATTAAAACAAATACACTAATTCTTACCCAAGCATTCAAAATTATACATTACACCTATAATTTTTGCTAGTAAAAAACAAATAACTCCTTTCTTCTGCTTTCCTAGCTTCCTTTGTTTGATCAGGTCACTGAGGACTTGAAGGGTACATTTCAAGTCAGTCTTACTCTTGCATCATTTTAAAAATTTTCAGTACACCCTGAACATATTTATATAAGACGTACTTAAAAAGTAACTTTGGGAAATCAATTCTGAATTTCTACTGTATGTCAAATGATTCATCCAAATTGTGACCTAAATATTGCACAATCCAAAAAAAGAGGCGGAGATAAAACCAGTATTTTAAAAAGGGCTTATTTGAAAAGTCAGAGGTATTGAGCAACAATGGAAGAACTCAAATACCAGAGTTAAACAAAACTATTTCAAACTTATGAAGTGATTTACAGGCCAATTACTTTTATGCACACATTTCAATGTTTTTCATTCTGTTACAGTTTCCTATAATACATTTCCTGAATTAAAAAAGTTACCTTCTTAACCTACACTTGGAGACTAACTTTAACTTCAGAGTTAAACTAAGATTTTCAGCAATCAGTAGTATTCCACCCACTTGCCATTAAAGTGATGACTGTACACAGCGCTCACTCACAAAACATATTTGAAAATGCTAACCATTTGCTGAAGTTGTGCAACATCCACATGCCCACAGACCCTGAACTATTCAGTGCTACGATTACTCTGCCGTTATAGCCCTTGCATAATATTTGGGTTTGTGAAGCCTATTTTAGTCCCTTCAGTAGATACACTGCAACTAGTCAGTTTGTATTTAGACAGGAGAGATACTCCTGGTTAGCACTCTATATATTTTATGTCCTCTATATCCAAAATGGTCCTCTGTACACTAGGAAAATTTGCTCAGCTAAAATAAACATTTCCTCACTCCATATGAGGGAGTCTTTCAGACGACTGCCAACTGATATAAGAAACATTTCAAACAGATCTCAACCTTTGGGCACAAAAGTAAAACTGAGACAAATCTATTCATGCTACAACTGCTGCTGTACAGTTTCCACACATAGTTAACATAAACAGTTGTAAAAGATGACGGTTTATCCTCTTTTACAAATAGCAAGCTTCTGCTGAGCCTTAATCTTACAAATACATGCACAAACGCTAAGGAATAGTTCCTTGGTACAAAAGGACTTCAAACACAAGGCACTGCATGGCATAACAGCACAACCCTTTTCAGGCACCTGGCCTTGAGATATGGAATCCACAGCCTGCAGGCGATGCCTAAGCCAGGGGCTGGCAACCCACAGAGCCATTTGCTCCAGCCCGCAAATGGGAGGCTTCAGCTGCAGCTCTCCCCATGCCATATGGGAAAAACTGGCAGCAGCAAATGGATCATGTCTGCCCTTCCACCTCTGACCTGAACTGAATCACTTCAGCTCACACCCTAAGAAGAGTGCCAACTTGTGGCCTAAGCTTCTACAACACACGGAGTAGATTAAGTGCCTCAACAGAGGCTTCATAACAGTGTCAGCACGCTAAGCTACTGGAGGGGAAATACCAAAGAATTGTTTGTCTAAAATCCCCTCCTCTCAGAAACTTAGATACCTAACCCTTGGCTGTGAGGAGCTACTTGTTAGGTCAAGCTTCAGAGCCCAAAGATTTATGCATTTAAGTCATCTCACCGAAAACCTGAGAGGGGGGTCACACTTCTGTTAAGACACAGCCAAAGGAGGCTGGTGATAGCCTCTATTTTATATACAACAGCCCAGGGGTTACGGAACCTGTAAGGGACACAGGAGGCTCCTATCAGTCCTAGGAATTCTGTTGGAGGGGGTTCAAATGCACATCCAAAAGACTGCCACAATCACCAGGTTATTTGCTAGGATGAAACAGACCAGCAGAGACTCCCTATGCCTGATGAAGGGGGACTGCGCCCAAAAGCGTGCAAAGAACTTTTCCCCCAACTACTCAGTTGGTCTAATACAAGATATCACATCTAACCAAAGAACCTTGCCTGCCTATGTCCTTAGACCAAAATGGTTACAACAAAAACTCAGCAGGATAAAGCAGAGGCTTTCCCCTGAGTTCAAAGGTAAGGGAGAGGAACTGTTTCCACCACCACCTCCTTCACCATCTTATTGTCCTCCAGTGACCATACTTTTTAATTAAAGTGACCTCAGCCACTGTGTTTTATGTGAAGCTCAATCATGCTGGTGTGTGTTAGGGAGGACCAGAGCATGTCTGCCAGACTAGGCCCCTCAAAGGAACAGGGGAAAGAAACTATCAAGATAAGGATTAGTAGTATAATAAGCAGGCATGACAGAGGTGCCGAGTCTTGCCAGCAGGGAAGCAGTTCTGTGCCAGCACAGAAGCAGTACTTCGTGTACCTGAGGAACTTTACTGGCAAAAATGTTGGCCTTAGTTTTTAAGGATCACATTCTTGGACTGACACCTAAGTTCTACCTAAGCCAATGGTTCTCAGCTTAAAAAATGCCAGCTCTTAGTTTTCCAAGTCATTTCTTGACTGCAGGAAAAAAAACAACCAAGCAATTCTTCTGTTGCAAAGAACTCAGACAGACTGTAACAGGTCAGGATACTTTTGACACTATGGTTTCCTATTTGAAGTTTCTGGGTTTCTCTCGTGAATTGTGCATAGGTGTCTGCACATCTAACAGTGCTCCTACTGCATGACACCCTTAGAAGAGCCTCGCAGCAACCTGCTTAATAATCACTGACCTAAGTGTTTTGGGAAATCTGGGGCTAAAATGTTTGCATGGTCGGAACCTCAGTCTCATACCTGAGAATCCCTCCCAGAATAGTTGAGTACAGTTCCCCTATTCGTGAGGAAAGGCTGACACCAGGAAGCAAATTTAGATTTCTTACCTTGCAGCATAAAATGTACTACTACAGGCCTTTTTTGTAATCAGGATTTTATAACATTTTTTTTCATTTAATCCACGTTACAGGGAAGAGAACACGGTAACAAACTCACGTGACAGCTGTTGTCAAAATAACCCAGCAGCTCTTTCTTTGATTCACATTTCTGTGGTCAAACGCTCTGAAGTTTGCTGCTATTGTAATTAAAGGCTGCCTTAGCCTCAATTCAACTAACAGCACAGGAAAAAATGCCCAGCTTTTTTGTGGTCATTCTAGAGGTCACTGTACACGTGCCTCACAAAACGTGCTCTGCCCACGGAGAGGCCCTTTGCATGGCAACAAAAATCTGTTACACGCAAAAACCCAAGAGACAGAGCTAACCATGGGAGAAAACATTTCAGAAGCACGTGCACAGATGATGTGCACGCACAAACACACATGCATGGACACACAGCAAGTGCGCTCACACGCACATACACAGGGGCTAGGCTAGATTAGATGACATCCGTTCCAGCCCTTCCCATGACTATGACACAACACACAGGAGACACGCATGTGGACCCACGTGCCCTGCGAAAACAGACGCAAAGTGCACACGTGAACACACGCAGCCTACAAGAGATGCCCAAGCCACGGCAACCTGAGGCCCACAGAGCCACAGACGCATGTGCACGCACACAGACACGCACACACAGGCAAACCCCTTCCTTCCCAGCCCCCCGCCTCAGGCTCCCGGGGGAGGGGTGCTGCCCGCCGGCGGAGCCAGCCCCGGAAGCCACCAGCCAGCGACGGGCGGGGTGCGGGTGCTGCCCCTGCCGGCCCGAGACGCGGCCGCCCGGTGGAGCACGCCCCCTCCCCCCGCGCACCTGTCCCAGCGGCGCAGGGGCGGCCCAGGAGGGCGGCAGCAGCAGGAGCAGCCCCAGGGCGACGAGGAGCAGTAGGAGCCCGCGCGGCCCCGGCGCCGCCTCCATCTTAGGAACCGACGCCCGCCACACTGCCAGGCGCCGCGGCGGCCGGGGGCGGGGCCAACGCGGCGGTGACAAGCGGGGCACGCTGCCCCGGAAGCTCCGTCGCGGATTGGCCAAGCGCGTGGCCAATGGGTTGCGTGCGACGGCGCTTGCGTGTCACGCCTCGCCCCGGCGTTGCTCTTGCTCCACCGCTTAGGGGGCGCTGTTGTGTCGCCGGAGCTTACCTGCCGCTGCCTGCGGGAGTAACGTATGCGCAGTGGGGAGGGGGTTCTGGCCTGGAGTCCAAGGAGCAGTGAGGAAGAATTGTCTTTCTGTTGCCCACACAGACAGGTTCCGCATAGGAGACCTGTGCCCCCTGTAGCCCCCTTCAGAGAGGAGGCTGATGGTGCCTGTGCATGGTGCAGGCTGGCTCTGGCCCTCAATGGTGTGGGCCTCCTGTTCAGTGTTGCCAACTCATCTTTTTTGGCATTGCTCTTAAAAGTCTGTGCTTGGGGAATGTGAAAAAACCTGAGCTCTTTCTTTTATGTAGATACATAAATATAAATAAAAGAAAGAGGTAAGTTTTTCACATTCCCCAGGCGTAGGCTTTTAAGAGCAATGCCAAAAATCAGAGCTGGCAACACTAAGTATTACTTTGCTGAACACCAACATGGCCACTGTTTCCATCACTGCCTTCGCTGTCCTCTTGTCATGCAGATCGCGGTGTGCAAAGGCCCCATGGAGAGCAGGGCCATGAGTACCCCACTGGTTGGTCTGTGGGATCGCTTACACATGCTGGCAGGAGTAAGTTGAAGTGACAAGTGCCTGGTGATGTGTTGTTCTCCACCAGTGGGGCATAGGTGGTGTATATTTTAGTGGCTGGGGTACCAACAAGGAGCTGATGGTGATGCCCATGTAGGGGGTTGTTCTGATCACAGACTTAAGGAAATATACCTAAAATGCACTAGCTGTGAAGTAGTTACATACCACCACCTTAACATACAACCGTGCAGAAAAATAAGGGGCCCAACCCTGTCCTGGTGAGTTTATAGTGTACACGGAGGTTTACATTAGTATTTTCAGTATGTTCTAAAGCAAGTAGGCATCCAACTCCCTTTGGACATCTGGACATGAGTGCCTAATTTTTTGGGCCCCAATGAAAATCCCATCTTTTATATTTCCTCCTGAAATCCCTCTGCCTAGTGTCCTCCCCCCTCCCCCCCTTGCAGCACTTATCAACCTGTGACCTCACTCCTGTCCCTGTTATCATGAGGATATCTGTCTTGGGCGCTCCTTTTGTGGTTGGGGGAGGGAGGGGAGAGAAAGAGCTGGATGTGAATGCAATCATTGCCACAGTGGTAGCTGATTGTGCCATTGTAACCAGTAGTGCAGAAGCTGATGTAGTCTTGGGCACCATGTAGCTGCCCTGGGCATAGAGCTGTGCTGCTACCCCTCTAAGTGCCCCATTCATAAATTCTCCCTCTAAAGCATCTACTACTGTCACTGTCAGAGGGAGTACTGGGCTAGATGAACCATTAATTGCTCTAACTTGCACCTAGCCCATATTGTCCTAAGTGGTAGATTGTGACTCATTCTTTTCCAGACCTGAGTCTGCTTGAAGCCCCAAATTTCTCTCCCAACTGTATAAGGTGATCCAGTAAAAGAGATCCTTCATTTCCCAAATCTTGCTTCTCTCGTTAAGCTTTAACTACCTCATTTGAAAAACTGAATCAGGTCTGCTAATGATTACTGTTATTAGAATTAATTCCATCCCTCTTTTTCGTCTGAAGTCTTCACAGGAGATTTGTGCTTGGTCAGTTAAACAAGGTGTGTAGTCAAAGATTAAAATCTTCTACAGAACATTCAGCAGAACATGTAGTGTTTCCATTTACACCCATGTTGTTGGAACTGCTGGGAAATCAATGGCGTTGAGTTGAGATGGGGACAGGGGAAACTAGGGAGGTTGCACTGGTGCACTTGCAACCCCTTTGATTCCTGTTGATTAAAACCAGTTGCCTGGCAGTGGCATTGCCTAGTCAGGCAATGTTGAGGGAGTCAATCAATTTTATGGCTTCTTGTAATCCACCTGATCCTTTCTGAACTCTTCATTCCACGTGTTAACAACCCTCTCCGTTTTAATGGTCTTGACGTTCCACCAATCCAGCCCCCCATTGCTTTGCACTGTTGCTATCTCTTAACAAAGGGGCAGGCAAAGTCCGGATTGGGCCTACGGTGAACTCTATTTCCCAGCAGCTCCTGGCTGCATCACTGCAGCCGGTTTCCATGGAGACCCCAGGAGTGGCAGAGCTGTGACAGCATGGGGCCAAGTTTTCCATGGAGACGGTCCCCAGCAGCATTGGCAAAGCACTGCAGCAAGGCAGGGAGCTGCTCCAGGGCCCTGATCTTGTGGCAGTACAGGACAGCGTGGTCTGGAGCTGGGGCAGAGCTGCAGTCTGCTGCCCACATGCCTCAGGCAGGAGCATGCAGGCAGCGGAGTGCAGCTTTGCCCCAGCTCCGGACCATGCTGGCTGTCATCACTGTAAGATCCCAGTCCCAGCCCTGGAGCAGCTCCTGCGCCTTGCCAGTGCTGCTGGAGCTGGTTTCCATGGAGACCCTGGCCCCCTGTGCTGTCATGGCCATGCTGCTCCTGGATCTCCATGGAAACCAGATGCAGGCAGCCAGAGCCACCATTTTGCCCACCCCTATGACAGTGGCTCCCAGGAATGACAGCCCTACATCACTGCCCTGCAGATTGTATTGAACTCATTCCAGTGAAGTCATATATATGTTTGCTTCAGTCTTAAAACTGCGTAACACAGCCCTTGGCTCCTAGACTTAGTGAAGCATCTAGTTTCATAGTTTCATATTCATAGTTTCATAGTTTCTAGGGTCGGAAGGGACCTGAGCAGATCATCTAGTCCGACCCCCTGCCATGGCAGGAAGAGCACTGGGGTCAAACGACCCCAGTAAGGTGGTCATCCAACCTCCTCTTAAAAACCCCCAGGGTGGGAGCCTGCACCACCTCACTTGGAAGCTGGTTCCAGACCCTAGCCGCCCTGACC